ATGAAGAGGAATTTATGGAGTGGTAATGGGCATATGAGTTAATATCAGACTTATGGACTTGGTTGGGATGTTTTCTCAATATACAATTACAATTTGATATAAAACTCTCTCTTACAAATGTCTGAGTATCTCTGGATTGTTTTTCTCCAGTGAACTCAGACTAGCACATTATGGTACCGGTGTAGTATTAAGTTAAATTTGGAGGGGGAGGTGAGGGTTCAGTAAGCACAATTGTACGGTTGAGATATATATATATATATATATATATACCGTACAATTATTACATTTTACATATATATTACATTAAAGTCATTGAGAGCATGAGAGATAAAAAAGATATTACAATGATGCTGTCAGACATATTACATGGTAGCATTGCTCACATCAGCCCTGCTTGGTGGTCCTCGTGGAGAGAGGGGGAAGGGAAGGAGGGCAAGGGAACAAGGGAGAGAGGATAGGAGAGGAGAGGGGGAAGAGAAGGGAGCCAGAGAGAGAGAGGTCAGAGAGCTCTATATTGCTGACCCATGCCTATATACCTTTTGGGGGCATGCCAGCCCACTAATTATAGGTAGAGACATGCGTCACAGGGAGGGGTTGCACTATAGGTTACAGAGTAATGAGAGAGGGTGGTCTAGGGACATACACGCAATAAGAAGAGGAGGGATTGGGGGTATACACGTGACAAGATGGGTGGAGCCTAGATTTAGGATGACAGCTTAACTTTGACCTGTTCCCTGGGTCTCCATAGTAACCATTATCAGTAGGGTGTAAGCTCCTACAGGAGCCTGTCCATTGTCCCCAGCGGCAGGGAACAGGGCCCACTGCAGTTTGGCAACTGATCACCCTCAGGGGAGATCAGCTAGCATCTACCTCCCCCCACAAGTCCCCTTTTGTTTTATATATAAAATTCAAAAGCCACCTGGGCGACATGGTTATTTTCTATACAATGAAAGCTGCCAAGGCAAAACTACATGATCCAATTAATATAGCCAAAAATTCAGGCTTATATCAAACATTTTGAATCCAGGCATGGAGGATAAAGACCCCCTATGCCCATCTGCTATTGGAGGAGGATATGAGAGAGGCTGGATGCTGCTGCAAGAAGAAAAGGAGCAATTAGGAATGTCTGCTTCTATTGGGAGGATTAATCAACCATGTGCTCACTTTAAGGCAGCACAGCATTAGAGGGAAAAACTGGGGGGGAAATAGATTACCGCAGGAAAATATACTCGGACTATATCCCTAACTACCAGAGTGGCGGCCTTCCTACCACGGAACACTGGCCTTCCAGGTTCCCTCCTTACCTGTCAGGGACTAAGTCCCAGTTTTATTTCCCTTGGTGCTAGTATCCCACATTTCCCCTTTCTGCATTACGTTTAGGATTCGTGTCACGGAGGCAATATGGTCTCTTTTCATATCTCTCAGCTTCCTATAGAAGTGACACGAAGTTGTGAGCATCAAAATTATGATGATAAACTACACAGTCAGACTAGAACTTAAGTTATGTGAAATGCTTTGAACCCAAACATGCGGGTCCAACCCTTCCATGCCATTCACCAATTGCTTAATCATATCAGAGCCAGGAGATGCCTCAAGCTTGTCTTTGAATGTATAGAAAATATCCTTCTTAAGCTGATCAACATCTAATGAAATGTTTCCCTTAAACCCTTGCAAATGTTTTTCTGTCACATCCTAGTTATGCAATGTTACATTATATAGGCAAGGAGTTACACAGAAATCAGTTACATTCCAATCACATTATAGCATTGACAAGTCCAAAATCTTGATCTTTCAGCAAAACAGCAGTCTGTAGTTATAGTTTAGTCATTATTGTATAAAATGTTCAGTTATGATAGAGTCCCAGAGTGTCCCTTAGACAGCATCCACAATGGAAAATATATCTCCGAAGTCAGCGATCGCCATTCTCAGGAATCTGTGGGGTTTTCTCGATGGTTAGGGTAACTTCAATAAGTAGGATGGAGTCACGTCACAACATTGGTGTCCCTCCTTTCTTCTGGGCCTTGCTGGCTGAAAAGAAATCAACCTATCTCCTTTGCCTGTGAAAATATAAACAAATAGCCCCTCTCTTCAGAGTGTCATTAACCTGAAAAAGGAATTATGATGAAGATTGGGTGGCTTCTCCATCTCTTTCTTGTCAATCTTTCTCTAATCATGGTTGTGTCCTTCTAAAGGGAATTCATCAGCTTTATTCTGTAAAAATATAAATTCATAGCCCTTTCTCCAGGTGAATGGACCCGGATCCCAAACACAATTTCCATCTTCTTGGGACTTCTTAGGATCAGTTTTCTCTGTAGAACTGAAAATGTGTTTATCTGTCCTAATTTTTTTACAAGCTTTTAGTAAGGAGAGAAATTTTTTGGATAAATTGACCAAATGAAATTCATCATACATAAGATTCCTCTTATCCCCCTTCTGTTTTAACAATTTAGATTTCAAAGCACTGCTAGCAATCTCAGTTAATTTGCTAGGCTTTGAGCTAGTAAAACTACTAGTTAGATAGCCTTCATTGTTATGTACATACTGGCTGCCAGTTCTCAGAGAATTAAGAGAGCTAACTTGTGAGAACTTCTTACCATAATAAATTTGTTCAGCTATTCTTAAAATGACTTACCAAACAGACATTTTTTCTTCAAGTTTACCAGTATGGTTACAGGCTCAATTAATCAGATTTGCCCTTCAGGCTTCTTACACTGTATATGATTTTACAATCTTGAAATTGTCTCTCTTGGTTAACTTCACTCATTCCCTCCATGCTGGCTTTAGGGGAAGTTAATGGGAGGGCCTTAGGCCCTCCTGAATGCCCTAAAGAAATGACTCCATATCCAGAGCTTAAAACCCTTTTCCCTTCAATTTGTAATTCCATGTGGGGGAGCTGTTGTTTCCACACAACAGCATTCCAGAAAAACCCTTTATTTAAAGGGTGATCAGACTTCTCAAATGCTCTTTCCTGATAAGTATGAATTTTTACTCTAGAAATGCAAGGAAGTAAAAATTGGCTTAAGCGATTTTCCTTGTTTATAAATCACAGTATATCAGATTTCATCACTGCCTTAATTTCATCATAATCCTGGTCAATAATTCCACCAACACCTTGAGAATTTATGTTGGACTTGCCTAATAAACATCCCATAGTTCTTTTAAGTAGTGGACCCCAATTACCGCTCTTAATAATTGCTGATTTAATTATAGCTTTTGTCTTTTCCTCACAACTCTGATCAACTCTAGTATCAATTTTAATTCCTTGACTATTTAGGTTAAATCTCCTGATAGAAGCTGTATAACTCTTTCCAAAGGAGGATCCTGCCTTTTAGAATCAAACTGCTGTGAGGGCTTCTGAGTCATCTCTTGGTTAGTCAAACCAACTGCAGGGAAAACAGAGCCTGGGGTTCTGCAAGTTTGGCTAGGTCTGGTCTCCTGCCATGAAGTTGGGAGATACCTGCGATTTCTGCCATTCAAAGATTCTCTAGCTGGATTAGGCAGAGGCCTTGCCTTCTGAGCTCTATTAGGCAGGGCTTGGATCAAGCTCCTTCCACTGTTTTCCCACCAGGCAGCCTTGACTTAATGCAACCCATTACTGTTGAATTTTGAACGACATTGACTCACCCAATGAGTTCCCTTTCTACAGCGTGGGCAAAGTTCCGGTCCTTTTAAACCCGAATTAGGTGGCCCTGGCCCGTGCTCTGGCTCAGGCCACAGTTTGCTTTTCATACACTCTCTTTGAAGATGACCTGTCTTCCCACAACTAAAGCACTTTCTTCTAGGTCTGATATAATTTTCCAATGCAGCTGCCATGAGGTTGGCCTTGTATTCCTCTGTCTCTACATTCCTGCATATCCTAAGATAATCTAACAGGGTGCCCTTTTCCCTGTAGGGCCGCAAGGCATTTTTACACTGCTTATTAGAGAAATCATAAGATAGCTTATGTACTAGGTCTCTTACTGCCTGGACATTCTTTACACACTTGGAAATAGCATCTTCCAGTTGGGACACAAAGTCAGCATAAGACTCATCATTCTGTTGTCTTATAGCCGTGTAACTCGGCTTTCTCTCTTCTGATGGAATTATCTTTTCACAGGCACTTAAGCAAACTTCACATATCTGTCCTATTGTCTGTTCGATAAACTGTAATTGAGACTCAACTGTGCTATACTTCTCATGCCCTAGCAATTAATGAATTCCTATATCTATCCCATCTTCAGCATTCGTGAATACTCGTGCCAGGACTGCCTCCTTCCACAGTATATAATATTGCAAATATTCTGAAGAGTAAATACATGTTTTCGCTAAAGCTCTCCAGTCAATAGGGGTCCAGCTCTCGGGACTCCGATAGAGCTTTTATCATGCTAATTACAAAATGTGAGTGTAGGCCATAATCATTGACTACCTGTTTGAGATCTTTCAGCAACTTAAAGAGAAAGGCACTGCAAATTCCTTGTGGTTGTTTCCCATAAGGCTGTCTGCTAACAACTCTAACAGGATAAGACATTCTAAATTCTAAGTCTCCTTCTTCTGCAATCCCTCCTTCTACCCTGGAAAGTGAAGGTTCTTTTCTAAATGTTGCTTCTCTTCTTTTATACTCTGAGCTGCTATTTTTAACCTGTATATCTCTACGTTGCACTTCCCTAACTACTTCTTCTGAGTTAGCTCTCCAAGTTTACGTTTCTTTGGAGCTAATCTCTCTACCTCCAGCACTGGCTTGCCTGATTGTTTTACGATCTCTGGTGTTTCTTATACTAAATTCCAGCCTGGGAGTAGATGCTTTTACTATGTACCCTTCTGACTCAGTTTTTTCAGCTCTGCCTAAAATCTTCTTATCTGTCTGAGACCCATTCTGCCTGCTTCTCACCTGCGTATCTTAGACGTCCCTCACTACTTTGCTGGTTCTGTTTCTCTGCTTTCCCTACCTTCAAAAGCAAGGGAGCTTCTTGAGGTTGCTTAATAGCCTCACTTTGGATGTTGGAATCTGCTGCCTTTCATACTTTATCACCTTTAATCCTTCGGAAGCTGCAGTCCCCCAAGGGCATATAGGGTTTGGCTGTGAGGTTTCTTTTAGAATCAGAGGCTTCGCATAACAAATCAATCCTTTCTTCTTCAATTTTTCCTAAAGTTCCATCACCTAATTCATGCTCATTCAAAGAGACTTTAGCTTGCTTTGCTAGATTAGGATGGCTCATGCAAGACTTCTCACTGCACTGATAATCCTCATTCTCTTTCTCCTGCAAAAGTACTAAGGCCATCTTAACTTGAACCCACAGAGGCCATGTCTCCTCAGGGATACTCTCGCCATCTCTGTGTGCTTTCTTTAAGTTAACAATGACCTCCTCCAAGGTCTCTAGATCAAAAGATCCTTCCTCTGGGAACCATGGATTATACCTTTTTACTACTTTTAGAAAACATTGCATCTTTTTCTTTGTTACTTTTACACCCTGTCTTTTCAGTATGCATATGAGCATACTACCATAAGTTTCACATTTGCTTTTACCTTGCCCCATTGTTCTCTTTAAAATACTTATTCACTATTTCCACTACTTATCTGCCAATCCCCACACCGGATCCTCACTTCACACAATTTTCAGATTCACTCTACATTCCGGTGGGGCTGTATAATTGTTACATGGGGTATAACTCATTGCCATGCCATGGGCACCATTTGAAGTATTAAATTAAATTTGGAGGGGGGAGGTGAGAGGCCAGCCCCCACCTGTACTACTACCTACGGGTTCAGTAAGCACAATTGTATGGTGTATATATATATATGGTGTATATATATATATATATATACACAATTGTATGGTGTATATATATACATGGTGTATATATATACATGGTGTATATATATGTGTGTGTGTATATATATATATATATATATACAGTGAACCCTCGCCACTTCGCACTTCAACTTCCGTGGCTTCACTCTATCACGGTTTTTGCATAACAGCGCATGCTCTGTCATTACTGCCACTGATTGG